GCTGAAGTGCGTTTTTGTACTTTCACAGACGATGAAACAGCGAGAAAAGCTCTGCTGCAAAAAATAAACAAATCTTCATTCTCAAGCTAAAAGCCGTGTTGTTGTTCCAGTATTCTATGATGTTTTTACGTTTTCTAATTGGCAATCTTGGCCGTCTAGTTTCATTCCCTCTAACCACGGACAGAGGAAACAGTGAGGCACTTAGCGCGCCGTTCATTCAGTTTGAACTCTCTCTCTCTCTGTGTAAGCCAGCGTTCATGATGCAGCTGCAGCGCTGCATTTATAAAGTGCTCGGAGGGAAAATCTGGTCCTTAAAACACTGATGAAAAGGGCGATGGCCCCTGGCTCCTACATTTACTGTCTGCTCACTGTGGTTCCACAGAGATGTTCATGGATCATTCGGACCCAAACAACATTATCAACAGCTGACACTTGTGTCTTTTTAGCTCCTTTCAGATAAATCCACATTTCATTTGAATTACCAGCAAAGCTAACTGTGCTAAACAGGATCCTTTTTTTTTTACTCTAAAACATCTAAAAATTAAACACCAACAGTGTGTGTGAAGTTCTGTATTCACCAGCACTACTTTACTGCACTTACACCCCCTTAAACAGTTTGATTTGTATATTCAGGATGAAGCTTTAAATTATTTAACACATGTAGAAAATACGTCTGGACCCAATGGAATAAATCACTTCCTGTAAAAACATCAAAATCACATTATGTAGTTATATTCTGCTTGTACTTAACTAGGATCACTGATGAGCTCTGTGTTATTTGAATGATTGGAAAAGACTGCGTCGTACAAAATGGTTAAATCCCCCCCCCAGCTTTTTTTTTGTTGTTGTTGTTGTTTCCAAACTTCCCGTGTTTGTGGTTTTTGTTTTGCCTACATTTGAACATTTTAAAAAGCTGGAGGCTAATTAGCTCAGCCATGCTACTGCAGAAAACCCATCTCTGTTAGATCCAGAGGTTCAAGCTAAAGAAATGCAGCACGTGAATAATAGTGTGAAGTCGAAACCACATGGACCTTCATTAATAATTAAACCACAGTCACTTTTGAACCCTTTTAGAAAATGATTAGCACCGAAAATTTGAATTTGAGTCTTAAGAGAATTACACAGGGCGTAATGCTTGCAGTTTGTGGTGTTTGTGTCCCGACGTGGAGGCGGAGTCACCGCTAGCCTCCCAGCCGGCAGGGAAATAGCACATAATATAATCTGAAAGTCAGATTTTACAACTTTAGTAAACTGGTGACACGGCTGCTGAAACAATCTTCTCCAACGTATAATTTATCTGGTGAAATACTGACAATTGCTGAAGTTGAAGTTCGGAATTAACCAACCGCTCTGGTTTCCCGCTCTGGTTCCAGGTTTCAGGAACGCCGCAGCCGCCTCTTCCCTCTCCCGACTGGATCAACAGTTCACTTCAAGCTCCGTAGCTTCAAGCTTCACAACCAGCCTCTGATGTTAAGTGCTGACATGGCGAGCTGGCATTTACCTCTGAAGTTCGTGGCTGGCTGGCTGGCTCGAGCTTCAACTTTCACAGCTAGCGTCTGACATTAGTTTGAAGAAAGGTGGCGTCAAGGTTAGCTAGTGTTAGCTTCTCAAAGCTGGGCTGGTGTTTTTGTCCATCTCTTTATTTCCATCCTTCATCAATGCAGAAACACCTGAGAGAGAGAGAAAACAAACATTATTCAATCATTACTTTAATTTTGAGACGTTTCACTAACTTCGCCCTGAACTCTGGGAGCGATACTGACCTGAGCCCAGCGGCGGTTTCTGCTGACCATGTGCGTGTTGGCCATGGCGGTGAAGAGCGTGTGTGACTGCAGGTCCTCCGGCAGGCGGGTGAGGAACTGAGCGATGTGGATGAAATCCATCTGAGCAGCACGTCCTCGAACAGACGCAGGATACCCAGCCCCGTCCGAAACAAACTCTCCTCCCCGTCCCGACAGAAGACGTCCCACACCCGGCACGCCACGTCCAGTGGGAGGGACTTACTGTACAGGGTGAAGATCCTGGACAGAGACGGACAAAAACATACTTTTACTTGTATGTATGAAAATAAACTTTAATTCAATTCATTAGCGTTGGTGTTTGTATGTTTCGCTGTGTTGACTTCCACCAGCCAAGCCAGTTAACTTCCCGTTCAGCCCTCTGCTTACTTGAATGGAGATAAAATGATAATCACGCGACTCTTCTGGAGTTTCCAAATATTATTGGAACGACACCATCAAATTCTGATGGTGAAACAAGTCATTTGGCAACTGCTTTTTTCCACAGAGTACAAAATGTCTGCACTTCCTGGGGGCTTGGAGGAAATGTGATGCGCAACGTGTGGTTACATTTTTGGGGAGGTGTGCGTTAGGGCTGAACATTTGATTTATATCTTATCGCAATAAGGCCTGCTGCCATTTTCAAATCCCAGGAGGGGCAGTATTTGTTAAAAGCAAAAACTGTGTGAAAATACCTTTTTAAATGAAATATGGTCGCGCTGCTGAGATGTCCTGTCCGGGCAGAAAAGCGCCCGACGTCACTTGTGTTTTTTTTTCCCCCATTGTCCAGTCGAATGGATGTAGAGGCGGGCCCTCAGTTGTGATGACGGAAGTTTACATTTGCTTGGATTGTCCGGAGATGCAACAGTCTGACCCTGACTCATCCTAAAATAAGGCTTGAACCATCTTTTAGCTCGTGGACCAGCTGGCGGTACAGCCAGCGGTGTCTCCTCGGATTTCCCTTTCCCCGTCTCCTGCTTTGTACACCTCACACACTCAAACAGTGCCAGAGCAGGCCTCTCCGTTTGTCTGTTTTATTAAAGCAGATGTTTAGCAACAAAGACTCAGACCTGTGAGCTGCGATCAAGTTTCTGCTAATATCACAGTTATTCTTAGCGCAAACCAAAGATTACAGATCGCTGGTGCTACAACTTAGATTAGACTGACAGGACGGCTGATTCAGTGGTTGCTAGCTGCATGGAAAAAAAAAACCCCCGCAGCGCACTGCTCTTTTCCAAATTCAACCAAAAAGGCATTGCTGCGCGCCTCGCATTTCTGAACCTGCAGAACGCTTTCTGTCTGATCCCCACTTAAGGAAACATCTTTCTTTGGTACAGATCCTGAAAAAAAATCCACCATTTAAATGTGTTTTTCAATGTTAAAAATTATCTAATTCACAATATCAGATAAAACTAGACAATGAGACACATAGAATATCCCTCTGAAATTATCTAAATCAAACCTCCCCAGAGACTAAACTATAGGTCATATCGACGACATGACTTCACCGGGAGCGGCAGAAGGCATTTGTGAACAATAGATCTATTTTTTGTTTGGATAAAGTTGAAAAAAGAGACCACTTTGGCGAGTTGAAAAACTGGTACGTTCCGCTCTGGTTATTTACAATGGCAGCCAATGGAGAATTTTCTGTCACTCTTGTCCTTTGGAAGGACACAGAGACAAATCTATAACCCCGAGCGATTTAAAAAGGCCATGTGAGGAACCACAACAAAATTTACTACGTTTCTGGTGTAAAATTATGCTTGAAGAGTTAAAATTGTGGTCAAGCCAGCGAGTTAAAGAGAAAAATCTAATAAGATTTGCGAGCCTGCTACACTGTAGTGATGATGTCACCCACTCTAACTCACGCAATACACACCCATTATACAGAAAAGAGCTAAAAAAAGCATAAAACTTCGACCGTGAACAAACTAAAACATATCAAAAAGCTGAATACATCATTAATAGATTAACTTCTTGTGACCAATTTACAGTTTAAACCAAGTCTGTAGCTGAAAGTATGCTGAACTGGTGAGCTTTCAAAGTGGAGTAGGTATGAGGAGGATTTTGACAGTCTCTCCATTCGCTTACAATGGGAGAATCTTCCTGGAAAACCTTGAATAATTTGGAAAGTATTCGAGGTATCAATGACAAAAGTAATAGCACCCCATTCCCATTGAGCCGGACAACTTGGAGTTTGAACGGAGTGCTTGCAGCATTCACACCCAACATCGTTTTGCGTAAAGCACTTTGAATTGCCTTAAAGAACAAAGACGTTCTGCTGTTTACTAACAATCTTTTAATTTTGTCTCTAGAAAACTTCATAGTGCCGATATTAATACATAAGAAAATTAAATTGGGCTTGTGATTGCCCATTTAAACATCAACACTGAACCGGAGGGGCAGCGGTCTTTAATAACTCACCAGTCGATCAGATAGAGGTCAGGGGTCAGGTTGTTGGTTTGGAAGTGGCAGAAGAGACGAGGCAGATTCTCCTCAAAGAAAACCTCAAAGGCTGCAAAATACTTCAACATCTGCCCGAGAGAGAGAAGTAAAGATGAAGGAGGGGGGTCAACTGTAAACAAACTGAATAATAGCCGGTGCGTCTTTGCGTGCGCGTACCAGTTCGTGGTCGACTCTGAAGAAGGCCATCTGACACGGTTTGTTGAGCAGGTTGGCGAAGGTGATGAAGGCTTCGGCCTCCTCCAGGTTGAGGATCAGCACGGCAGCGATGAAGGACATGCCCTGGACCTGAAACACCACAAACACAGACCCAGATCAGCACGAGAGAAGAGCTGTGTGTGGACTGACATGTGTTTTATAGCAAGGATGATCTCTCAACTTAAAAGAAGACCAAATAAATACGGACATGACTCCCGTAGAGTTTTTAAAGATCAACACACCTGCAACCGGTTTTAAACCCAAACACTGTGTGTATTAATGGTGCTATGTATTGTGACCATTCAACAACATGCTGAATTTAAAAATACATGAATAGGATTATAAATCTGTCCAAAGTTGCTGATTTAAATCATAATTCTGCAGCATTTTTCTTCTTGTTCGGCCGCTTGTGTTTATACAGCAATTAACATTTAAGAGTTTTGGGTCCTTTTGTTAAATGACAAAAACACGTTTTGCTTTGCTTTTTGTTTCCATGATTTTAAAACTATTGAAACTCTAAAATGAAGAACTTTATTCCATGCAGGATAAAATCTAACAGAGCACTGAAACTAGTCCGTTCAGGTTCAATTCTGTCAGTAAACGTCATCATTTTTGAGCGTGGAATAAAAAAGGAAACTCACGTAGCCAATGTCGGGTCTGTAACAGGTGTACGCCCCCAGGACACTGTGGAGGAGGTCGTGGTAGGGACCGCCCTGCAGAAAAAACAGAGTGTTAGGATTAATAGACAGATGGAGGCAGAGAAGGGAAGACAGATGCGAGTTTTTTGTTTGAAAGTTCACATTATTACTTAAATGTGGCCCCAGGTGGATCGACCTGTAGGTCCACCACTGAAACTATCGGTTAGCCAAAGCTATGGCGTGTGATCAAAATCACATGACTTCTCAACTGTCCGGTCACATATGAGGGTGGAGCAATCATCAAAACAGGAGGCAAAGTTGATATTAAGGAGTATAAATTCATTTTAAATAAAACAATCCTGCTATTTTTTGGCCTGTTGTGCTTAAAAAAGTAAAATATCTGTCCCACTTTAGGAAATGTGGTTTCAAAAAGTGGGACAGTATGATTTACCTAATGTGGGACAGTTGTAAAGTACTTCAGTCACTCAAAAAAGTCTTATGCACTATTAGAAAGCTCCACATGTTTAAGGCCAAGGGAAATTGTTATTCTTTGGGGGATGGCGGTTTGAAGGCTTTTTGTGGTTGTGTGTGTCTGTGTGTGAAGGGAGTAGGCGTCTTAAAATGAATGAATTTAAAAAGCAATAAAGCCAATCCACTTCATTTTATGCATCTAATGATTAATTTAAATGAATTTGGCAAAGCAGAGAAAGACGCGGAGAGACTTTCAGACGCAGAGCGAGAGGCAGAATTAGAGAAAGGATGAGAGAAAACTAAAAATAAACTAGAGTCAGGAATTCTGATTGTCTCAAACTATTTGCACTAAGAGCACCAATATGTCTGTCATTTTTTTAGGAACGTGTTATCTGCATTTTCTCTTTTGATTTGATTAGGACACATCCTGAGGTTTTTAAAATGGTATTTGGTGTTGGGTTATTTAATACATTGGCTTCACATCGAAATATGCCACAGAAGTCTGAAAAACAAGAAAATGTCCCACATTAGGGCAATTCACCCCCTATCAGACCCCAGTGTGAACTGTCCGTGGTCTGAAAGTGACCACGCAGCACGCTGTGGTACAGTAGTAGTAAACCGCAGAGCACATTTCTCCCGAATTCTTAAGTGTTCACAACTTTCTGTTCTTTTCATTAGGGTTTCTTGTGCTGTACAACGCATCCGCCCCACCTCTCACTAACGTTACACTCCCTCCCTCCCTCTCTCTGGCTCTACTGCCTCCACTCAGACAAGTGGCACGTATGTAAAGAGAGCTCGCGGTCCGGCGAATTTCAGGTGTAAGAAAGAGAATTTGTGGGTAGATGATAGTGAGGTAGAGGAGGAAGAGAGCCACATGTATAATAATGGCTTCTGTGGAGCTTTTTCGTTCACCACGGCTCCGTCTACAGCAGAACTATGACAACAGCTGCTCTAGTTATGGCGTCACATCAAGTCCGACCTGTGTGTCCAGACTCAGGTCGCATTTAAAAAGATCCGATCTGTATCAGATTTGGACCACATATGGAAGTGGCCCAAATCCGAACTGGAAAAGATCAGATTCCATGTGACTTGGCCTGTTCACACGGTCATAAAAAAAATCAGATCTGAGTCACATATTAGTTTCTTCTTCTTCGTTGGTGTAGGCTGCTACAAACAACAGCGAATGAACGGATCACGTTGGAGCTGATCGATAACAGCAGTTACTTTCGGTGAAGGTGTCGGGGGAGATGTACGACCCTTAACCCCACTGAGGCAGAAGGAGGAGGACAAGCCGGAAACGCAACGCTAACAAGCCAACAGTTCTTGCCGTCTGCATCGCCGTGATGTGTAGTGACATTTTTGGGGAGGTGCACGTCAGGGTACGGCGAACCAATGGGGTCCATTCAACGCAGAACTATAAATTGGCCATAAAGCTAACCCTTACCCTAATCTTAAACTTTGCAGTGTTTCAGGAAGTAATTCTTAGACGTTGCCATCAAAGTCTTTAACTCCTCCAGAGTGTCAGACACAAAGACTCTTGTAGAGCAATACTTCACATTCTGCGCACTATTATCTGTTTTATTACTTAATGTGCAATATTCTCTGCTTACTCTGTCCTAATACTGCAGTTTTTAAGGATTTGTAATTAATTCCACATTAACTCTACCAGTAAATACTATACATATTCACACTATTTTTACATTTATGCATTTCTTTATATTTTCTGCTTCATCTTTCTATTATTATTCCATTCCAATATAAATTGATGTGAAAGTGAGCAATTGTGACAAAGAATTTCCCCACGGGGGATCAATAAAGTATTTCTGATTCTGTTTCATGTCATGTTATTTTCCTTAATGACTTCTCAAACATATATAATATACATAATAATAAAGTATTTCTGATTCTTCCAGGAAGGATTCAAAGACCACTCTGCGTTTCATTATGACACATTTACAAAGTTTCAAATCTCTGCGACTTTAATAGAATATTAAAATGAACTCAATTAACAAACGGGATGCTGAGAGACATGGATGTAAGTTGTAAGCACATCGGATGTCCAGGGCTATTTTTACACTTTTACTCTTCTTAACCTTTATTTAACCAGATGATCTTAGTGAGATTTAAAACCTCTTTTCCAAGAGAGACCTGGCCAAAATAGCAGCATTTTGACAAAGCACATTACGATACATAAACAAACGACATTAGACCAGACTGCAATTTATACATACCGTAAGTTTAAAGGATTTAGTTATTTTAAAAGCAGTGACAACAATTTATAGCGTCTACTTACATAACAAATACAAGTTACTGTGTAGAAACTGATGTTGCATGATATTAGTGCAAAGATACCTCTCCTGCAGACAGGAGAAACACAACACCCGTCACAGATCTGTTACCTTCTGGAAGATGAAGAGAGAGGGGAAGGTTCTGGAAATATCCAGTTTGATGAGGTCCAGACTGGACTCTCTGTCAGCCAGCGATGCTCCTTCTGACGGAAAAACACACGAGAGGAACGTTTCAAAATGGTTATTTCAGTTTAGAATTCATGGTACGTGTTCAGCTGATTGTCAGACCGTAGAGGCTCATTTCAGACCCGATTATTCATCTAATATCTAAAAAGGTGAGTGTCAGACTGGTGCTGTGTCGTACCACTCTCACTGTCGTTGACTGAACTGGTCTCACTGTAACTCCTCCACTTCTCTTTGGCTCTGGACAGAAAGATCTCATACAGCTCTGCACGAACAGAAACACACATCGAGATCGTAAAAAAATTAATAAATAAATCTTTGACATGTGAAACAGAGACAGAATCCTGAAGATCCTGTGTTTTCCCATTTTTTAACAAATCGCATTAAAAGACCAACACTGTGTTAGTCCATCTCTCACGACTTCCTGTCTGTCGTGTGCTCGTGGTGATGACGTTTCATCGGTTTGTACCTGGTGTGATGTTGAGCTCGTTGCCGATGGCGAGGCTCCACACTCGCCCTCTGACGCTGGGAGGAAGTCCCTGCCACCAGAGCTCCCTGACCCTCCTCGTTCCCTTCCTACACACAAACACAGTACTTAAAACCAGCGCTGCACAAACAAGCTCACGCGCACACACACACGGCGAGCTGTGGAGACGTACGTGGTGTCCCAGTGCGGCAGG